ACTAGAACGAAAACCAGATCGACTTTTGTCATTGCACGTTACCCTTGAAGATATAGGTGATGGATTTGATTTGAGAGTGGGCTTCGGATCTTCATGTCGTGGATATGAAGCCTTTGTTGCATTTGACAAACTTGGATTGGTTGAAGAAGCAATATGTCGTGTATAACCTCTCTTTTGCTGCTTCTCTACTTCGATTGCCATTTGTACCAACTCATTCAAATCAATAAAAGGCCGAATCTCCACCACATGCCTTATGCAACGATTAAGACCATTGAGAAATCGAGCTACAGTTTCCTCCTCATCTTCATCAAAATCAGCTCGAGCCATTAGGCCCTTCATCTTCTTATAATAATCATACACGCTATTAGAACCTTGTCGAAGAACATCAAGTGCTCGATGCATCTCACGTTGTGTAGGGCCATACCTCCTTCTCATCCGTTGGTTCATCTCCTTCCATGTCTTTGCTGGTCGTTCCTCTCTAAAAAGTCTACTCCTAGAGCATTCTTGAGTCCACCAATCAAGAGCATGATGAATGAATGTACTAGCAGCAAATGTAACCTTCTCTTTCTCAGAACACCCATACCAATCAAATACAATCTCCATCTTCTCTTCCCAATCTAAGTATGCATCTGGATTACTTCGGCCTTGAAAAGTGGGAATCTCTATGCAATCCATAAGTTGCAGAGGTTCTCCATACTCGTCGTAGCTATCTCGATGTTTATAGTGATGGTTACTCTTATAGGGGACACCATGCCAAGCTTTGTAGTCCTCCATTCTTGATCTTCAAGAGCTTCTTCTTCAAATCGCCACTGAGTTTGAACCTAACGCTCTGATGCCACTTGATATGATCCAAATACGAAGATAACCCTCGAACTCGAATTATATGACCAAAATACGCAGCTCCAACGATCTTTTCTTGATTTTCTTGAAAACGATCTTTTCTTGATTTTCTTGATTCTTTGATTTTCTTGATTTTCTTGACTTTCTTGATTTTCTTGATGTCGCCTTTCTTGAACTCGAAAAATAAAGATAGATGCGAATCAATCGGACAATCCCAACTCGTGATGAAGGGCAATTGGTATATTAAACCAATCGGACAGCACCAACTCGTGGAAAGGGGCAATTGATATAGTCGATGCTCGCTACAACTAGACGCGTTCTCTAGTTGATAAGAGACCACTCAATTCTCCTGAATCCTCAAAGGAGATATTAAGCAAAAACGTTCATAAAGGAACTCACACAAACTCACTTGTAATTGATTGAATGAAAACTTGAATGAAAAATACATTGGTTGGACTCCTATTTATAGACCCACGAATTTAAACACAAAACAACTAAGGAAAACCCACTCCTACTTGAAAAAGGAAAACAAAAACCTTAACAAACAAGTAAACAAAGTCCTACAAAGAAAAGGAAACAAATTTGACTTTTCAACCCTTAATTCTAGCCTTAAACTCCTCCCTCACATGGCTTGTGTTCACACTTGATATTCCTTTCACACTTGCGTTCCTTTCACACCTTCTATTCACACCATGGGGGAATTCCCTATTTGGGCCGAATCTTTACTCCTTTCTCCAAGCCCATCTTCTGTCCGCAAATTATAGTAATGTGATGGGATTTCCTCGATGCAATTCCATATCCATCAAGAATGATCCCATTTGATCCTTGTATCGTTGTATTCGGGCCTTCATCTTTGGACAACGAGAATTATAAGTTCTGCCAATCGATTTCACATCACAAACTCGTAGGCCTTGCTCGCAGAACCATTTTCATCCATCTTGAATGCTCCCAAGATCTCTTTGAACCTCTTAATTCGTCTCTTGGCCCATGGTCCATGTGAAGATCTAATTTGAGCTCGAGTAACTTCTTGTGGGTTGAGCGGGGTTGCATCAGCGATGCTGGCAAAGTAGATGTGGAATCTTCACACCAGACCCGATTCACTTGTCGCGAGACTTATAAAAGCAAAATACCATCCAAGAACGACAATTCTGGAAGCTAAAGTGGGTTGGCGTCCTAGCTATATCTGGAGAAGTTTGATGAGGGCTCAAGATCTTCTAAAAGCTGGGTGTAGATGGAGAATAGGATCAGGGGAGGAAGTCAGATTTTGGGGAGACAGATGGGTTCCAAATCTGGAAAATTATGAGGTTTTCTCATACTGCCCTTTCTTGGAATGGGATGCTAGGGTGTCCAGCCTAATCGATCAAGAGTCTAGAACGTGGAGACAGGACCTATTGAAAATCATCTTTACTCCTGAAGAAAGACAAGCTATTTTGGCAATCCCACTTTCCTCTAATAGTGATAAGGATGTGATGTGTTGGATGGATACAGAAAATGCTAAATACACTGTCTAGTCTGGGTATTTCTTTGGGCAAAAAAGTGAAGAGGAGGAGGCTGGTTACGATATTAGTAACGAAGAGGAATTCTGTTGGAAAAAGTTGTGGAAGGTGAGAATGCCAGGGAAACTAAAAACTTTCATATGGAAAGCTGCCCATGATATCTTACCTGTAGGTGCCAAGATAAGCAGGAAAGTCTGGAACTTAGGAGATGAATGTCCGAATTGTGGCTTCAAGGAAACGTTGAAGCACTGCTTGGTGGAATGTAGCTGGAACAACAGGATTTGGTGCAAAACACCGCTCGCTGAGATGTTTTACAAAGCTGAGGGCCTCACTTGCAAACAGTGGCTTGCCCAAATTATAAATTCCTACCTGGACAAGGAGGTGGCTCAGCTGAGTTCTCTGTTATGGTTTTTCTGGAAGGACAGAAACAATTTCCTCTTCAATAAGAAGTTCTTGGAGGATTGGCAGGTTTTTTCGCGAGCGGATGAATTTATCCACTGTTTTCTGGAAGTGCAGGGCAAAAACCAGACCTCTCCTAGAACAAGACTGAGGAGTGCTTGTAAGTGGAAGAGACCACCAATTGGAGTTTTCAAACTCAACACTGATGCAGGAGTCAGCAACGAAAGAAAGGTGGGATTGGGATGTATTCTCAGAGATTGGGAGGGCAAGGAAGTCTTCGCTGCCAGCAGAAGGCTTAATGTTAATTGGTCTCCGGATATTGCTGAAGGAATGGCTATTCTTTATGGGATCAGACTTGTGAAGGAGAAAGGAATTGGCCCGATTGTGGTAGAGTCAGACTGTAACAGGGTAATCGAGAAGCTGAAACAGAGGGAAATTTGCAGAACTGAACTTGGGGCTATCTGCTCGGATATATTGAAGGAGGCGGAGGAGTTGGATATTAGGGAGTGGAGGTTTGATTTTAGAGAGGCGAATAATACTGCTCATGTGTTAGCTCATATTGTTTCTGATTCTGAGAAAAATAATTTTGAATGTAATGGTCTACCACAGATGGTAGCGGATGTTGTAGCCTTGGAGGCAACTGATTCTTGATTTCAATGAATCAGCTTCAATGGTTTCCTAAAAAAAAACACAGTGTAGAAAGGAGAGTTATGAATATGAAGATGAAAGAGTTCAGATTGGACGTGATGGAATAAGGGGTTTCTGTTTATTTTTTAGTTGGGTTTTAATGGAATTGATTCCATATCGATTGGGAATAATCATTGCAACTTTGGGGATTTCCGTTGGATGCGAAGGGAAGGTTTGATGGACTGAACATTTTGGGAGGGTGAGGACCGCGATAAGCAGGTTGACTCGGCAACAGGTTGGGTTGAGACTTGGTTGACTGGGTTTGGTAATTGATTTTTATTAATATTTTAAGTATGTGGCATGCTGACTGGGCATAAGTAACAGGTTTTTGGATGGAAATGACGGAATGGCCTTTTATTTATTCGTCCAAACATTTGTTACTGAAACATGCAAAATTAAAGTTTTGTGACCGTTTTGTACTAAGTGCATAGGTTTGTTACCTTTTGTGCTAATTACCCGGAGTTTATTTGTTTTAATTAATTATTATGTTTTCTAGTTAGTTTGGTATTTATTTTTCTATTCCTTTTAGATTAATTTTATGTTTTTGAGACCTTTATAAGTAGAGGGTGTAAGAGCTACAGATTTTGGTATCCAATATCCAATATTCAAATCAAAGTTCAGAGTGTTTACTCGAGTTCCTTTGTGAACGTTTGTGTTAATCTTTTTGTTGAGAATTCCGGGAGATTTTCACGCGTCTCTTATCAACTAGAGAACGCGTCTAGTTGTGGCGAACATCTACCCTTTATCAATTGCCCCTTTTCGCGAGTTGATTCTTTCCGATTGGTTTAATATACCAATTGCCTTTTGTCACGAGTTGGGATTTGTCCGATTGATTCCGCATCTATCTTTTATTATTTCAAGTTGTTCAAGTTGGAGAAAAACTTCGAAAATCCTTAAAAGGAAGGAAGGCTGCGTACTTTGGTCATATCATCCGAGTTCGGAGGTTCTCTTCGGATTTGAATCATATCATTTAATTTGTTAATGTGCTTCTTATGCATCATATTTCTATAGTTATACAGAGATTTTTTTTTCATTTGGTTTGCACTAGTGTTGGCACCATTTTCGCTTTTATATATTTTTAGAATGGTGTGTGGAGCTATTGGATAATGAGAAGTATTTGCTTTTAAATATTTTATTGATAATTTTGAAGAGAATAATTTGGTATTTTGAAAATCCGATACGGATATGAAGAAAATATTAGCGATTAGGAAACCAATATGATTTTGGGACTAATATTATATTGGAATATAATTTAGGACGCCATTTTAATTTATACTCTAAATAAATTTCGATAGTTGACACTGAAGTACCGATTTCCACCCCTGCCCTGCTGCCAGTCTAGCACCCAACTGCTCATCACTACACACACTGATCTGCTCCGAATGCAAGTCCGTATTTATAACAATCTAAACCGATCGACTTTCAAGAAAAAGATGTTAAGGATAATAAATGTAGGTATATATATATAGCTCAACCGACCCACATGCATTTGTGGCCATCTCCCTAGCTTCAACATATATATACTCTTCAGGGCTTCAGTTTCTGCTTAGAAACTAGCTGCTAGTCTCGTCTTACAACATGGGTTTGGTGTCTTCTCTCAGTAGTACTATTGCTGTCTCTCTTCTTCTTGTTGATCTGGTTTTCTTCTCGGTGGCAGTTTCGGCCGTCGATGAAGTAAAAAACGGTAGGGTTGAAAGAGAGCAGGAAGCCGACAGGGTGAGTAGGTTGCCGGGGCAGCCGGAAGTGAGTTTCAAGCAGTACGCCGGCTACGTCACCGTCGACGAGAGCCACGGGAGAGCACTCTTCTATTGGTTCCTCGAATCCACCCATCGCCCTCACCACAAGCCCCTCCTCCTCTGGCTCAATGGAGGTATAGTATTTTTTTTTTATCATCTTCGTTTCCTTGGATTTTAATTAGCGTTTTTTCCAAGGTTATCAAAAGCGGGTTGAGCCGGACCTGGTCGAGCTAGTGGGTCAAGGGTTAATGGGTCAACCGTTTTAGTCCGGTTTGGCCTGGAAATATGAAAAGAGTCATCATTTTGTACTTTTCCTTATAAATTATATCAAATCTTATCTAACATATGAGTTATAACATATAATATTACACCAAAATAACATATCGTACTTAGATCTAGCATAAAGTGAAAATTCACACACACTTATATACATCAATATTCAAATATTCAACTTAGGATTCCAAAGAGTGAGTTAGGCGGAAAAAAAAAATCGGAAAATATGCACATTTCGCAAACCAAAGAAAAAAAAAGACACAATTTGACCTTCAACTCGATACCTTATAGCGGTCGACCCGGCGGGTGTGTGCGGCCCGTTTTTCTCACCGTGTCAGGGTCAAAGTGGGTCGACCCGCGGGTTGACAACCTTGGTTTTTCTCAACGTCGTGTTTAATTATTTCTTTTGGGCCGTTAGGAAAAAAAGAGATATGCCATTATTTCACTCCTATCATTGCCGTCAAATCATAAGATTGACGGATAGACTAGTATCAATTTAACACATGCTTACGCACTAACAATTAGTTCGGTACGTGTTAGTTAATTAGATCATTAATCGGATTCCTTGGATAGTGTGATCGATGATGACGTTGTGGGTGGCAATGTATTGGGAAATCAAACTAACCAGCAGTGAAGTTATTGCCCTCCCTAATATTTATTTATTATATATATATATGCTCTTGTCTATCGTATCACAACGGAATTGCCTATTTATTGGTACTGGTGCGAATGTAGAAGCTTCACGTTGTATTATGGGGCCGTTGGGACTTGGGATCAGAAATATTATATTGTATTAAATAAATTTGATGGGTGAAGTTTCATTCTGCCACCATGCAATCCTATTATCACGTTGGGACTTGAGAACATGCAATCATCACGTAGATTTATTTATATTCATGTATATAATATGTTTTTTTTACTCAAAATATAAGAGTGTTAAAAAAAAAAAATCTAACTTTTGCTTAATTGACAAATGAGATTAATGAGAGTGAGTGAAAAATAGATCATGCATACGTGAATATATATATATATATAGTTGATTTTGCATAAGAAATTGATAGAGTTGCGCGAAAATACAGCTAATTAATACATATATGTTTGCGTTTATCGATCTTTAGGAGTTGGTATATTAATTTGCTTATCTTTTTTCCCCGAGAATCACAGGCCCAGGGTGCTCGTCGATAGGGTACGGGGAAGCTGAAGAGTTGGGGCCCTTCTTCCCCAACAAGGCCAAACCAGAGCTCACCTTCAATCGCCACTCTTGGAACAAAGGCATGTATATATACTTAGCTTCTTCTTCTTCTTCTTCTTGTTATACTATAGCTGACCTATACGTTGACAATGCCCGATTGGGGAAAATAAAACAGCTGCGAATCTGTTGTTCCTCGAATCCCCTGTTGGAGTCGGATTTTCCTACACCAACACTTCGACGGACATTTCTCAACTCGGCGACACCATGGCGGCCAAGGATGCCCACACATTCCTCCTCAACTGGTTCAAGAGGTTCCCCCAGCTCCGCTCTCGTGACTTCTACATCGCCGGAGAAAGCTACGCCGGTAAGATATATTTGCATTTGCATAATTAATTAATTAATTAAGTCGGATAAATGGCAAATGTACGTGAGGATGATAACATGTATTATAATTTATAAATACGCTTTATGTTGTGTCTGTCAGGACATTATGTGCCGCAGCTGGCTGAGGCTGTGTTCGACGGGAACAAGAATGTTTCCAAGGACGACCAAATCAACTTCAAGGGTTTCATTGTAAGTAGTCTCTTTGGGATTATTGAAACTGGGCCAGGCCCAGGCCCGTCCCTGATCCCGTGACTAGTGACTGTGAGAACTCGGTCTAATCTGTCCGAGTAGGATTAATTTATAAAATTGGTTCGCCCGGTTCCAGATTCTTATTTGACCCTCTAGGATCATGTCGATCGGTACGTAAGTTACAATCAATCAACAAATTTTTTTTTTTTAAAATATATTTTGCCACCCAAATTTATTTCTCTTCTTCTTTAACAAATTGGTCCAGAAATTTTGGTTGTAACATTACATTTTAGTACCTCAATCTTTAAAACTTTACATATAGATCTAATGTGTTGGTATAAAAAATTTCATGTCACCCGTTGTTGCTATCAGTCATGTCGGCCAGAAAAGTAAACTGACCCTAAATTATTGACACAATGACCCTTACAAGTTCAAAAGATAACTCAACAGTGTAAATTAAACTTCCAAAACAATCTTACCCAGCCCGGCTCTTAGAATCGATCGGGTCGGTTCGGGCCGGATTAGTGGTTTTAGGTCGAGGCTTTACAGCCCCAATTCTCTCCCGTCTATACGCTGATTCTATCAAATCAAAAGATGATCGCGCATGAAGAATGACATGTGCGTAACGGTTTTTTTTTCAGATCGGAAATGCGCTAATGGACGACGGAACGGACCAGAAGGGGATGGTGGAGTACGCCTGGGACCACGCCGTGATCTCCGACCAAGTCTACGACAAAGTGAAGCACGCATGCGACTTCGCCGACGAGGAAGAATTCACGTCGGCGGCAGCCTGCAAAGAGGCACTCAAAGGCTACTTCGACGTCTACTACCTCATCGACATGTACAGCTTGTTCGCTCCCGCCTGCTTCAACGACTCCACCTTCATCACTCGCCGGCGGCAGCGCCCTCTCATTCGCGGCCAGCTCGCTCCTCGTTTCTTCTCCAAATTCGTAAGTCATCCGAGCTCTTAAATTGTGTAAGGAAGTAATTAAATACTATATATAGACTTTTTTTTTCAATAATTTCAATTCGAGTTATTGTGATAAGTTGATTTATAACATAATATCAGAGACTAATTTGTTTTTAGATTACTTGTTAAGTTCTCACGTCTTTCAATATAAACGTTGTATTATGACATATGATTGGACCTGTGCAAACTTCAAGCTCATAAATTGACTGAGTCATTAAAAAAAGAAGTGATTAAATACCCTAGCAACTTCCCGAATTATTTCGGACAAATTGGTGTATAACATATTGTGTTGAGAAAAAAATGGCCTAGTAGTTGACCTTGGGAGTGGATAATTACTTGTAGGCGGCGTGGCACACGGCGCCGGCGGGGTACGACCCGTGCAAATCGGGGTTGACGGAGGCGTACTTTAACAGGAGAGACGTGCAGGAAGCTCTGCATGCTAACGTGAGCGGGAGGATTCCGTACCCCTGGACCCACTGCAGCTACGGGATCCGCACGTGGCGGGATGCTCCCCACTCCGTTCTTCCGGTGATCAAGAAGCTCATCGCCGGCGGACTCAAAGTCTGGGTCTACAGGTAACTGTTTCATACATTTTTCATATCATAAATCACTTCATCAACCACTTTATTCTCACAACACAACCTCTTAAATGAAAGCCAACTCATTGATTCAAAATTTGCATTTGTGGTTAATATTGAGAGTTGTGAGAAGGTAATACATTACCTTAACAAGAGACCAACTAACTCTAATATTATATTATGTTCTCAACCAATTAATTTCAATAACTCAAGATGTCGGAGAAGTCATTCCTTAAATAATTACTTAAACAGTTTCTTACAATGGCCACGTATTATTCTTTTGCCGTGCAGTGGGGATACCGACGGGAGAATTCCGGTGACATCTACAAGATTGACCCTTAACAAGCTTGGCCTCAACATTACTCAAGACTGGGCTCCCTGGTACTTCCGGCAGCAGGTATTTATTTTGTCAACTTCTAAGTTAAAGTTGCAAGCGATTAACTAGTTTTGAACACTATATATATATATATATTATTAATTCCCTTGTTTGATTTTTACAGGTGGGAGGATGGACGATTGAGTACGATGGACTGACGTTTGTGACGATTAGAGGAGCGGGTCACCAAGTTCCTACGTTCAAGCCAATGCAGGCTCTGCTGCTCATCAGTCGTTTCTTGGGCAACAAGAAGATGCCCTCTTTCCCTTGGCCTTCTAGCTAAAGCTGAATTCCATTGATTGATTCATTGAGCTTTCCATGCATCAGGAATATTCAGTTTGTTTCGATTTTGTTCTTTATTATGTAGCACTCTCTCCCCAATAAGGTATTAATGTTATTGTTCTGTGGCTCTTTTTTGTTTCATAAGATCTCATCATACATTTTGGTGAGGTTTAGATGAATGCAACTAGATGGTGGTATCAAGTACCGTACAGTGGGAATACCTTATTTTGACCTGAACTATTCCCATGTAATCAATTTTGGCCAGTGGTTCTAGAAATTGCCATCTTGACATCAACTATACATTATATTGACTCAATTAACCCGACATATGGTTTGAACGTCAATTTGGACGATCAACGGTCCAGCTCGCTGCCATGTCAGCACCAAACAAAAAAAAATATATTTTATTATATCCTTTATCTAATTAATAAGATAATAAATAATGATAAGAACAAATTAATTTCGGCCACCCATCGCCAACTTATCCCCTCGCCTCTTTGTAAATAGACAGTCAAACCACACGTTGGACCAATTTAGTTTATATGATGTATAATTGAGGTCAGAATGACAATTTTGAAATCACTAGCCAAAGTTAATTATATGGATATAATTCGGGCCAAACTAATATGTTTTGTGCCATTGATTTTTTTTTTCGGGGAAGTAGGCACTGAACACCAGCTCCTCGATCAATTGTCATATTCTTATTCACTCAATTTCTTTAACCGGGAAGTACACACTCTAGACTCTTTGTGACGCAATTGGCCGGAGGTATGTATGTAGTGTTCCGTCATTTCACATGGTTGTCATTCTCATAAAGTGATAATGAATTTGCCTTTAGGTGTGTTGGTTGATTTGGGAATTCCTCGGATCCAGAACACAGAAGAGCAATGGGTCGCATTTTTATCAGAAAATTAGAACCGTAAAAAAATATAATGATTATAGTTTTTTGCAATGTAAATTGTACATAACTGTATTTTAATTTAGGGAATGCATCAATAATGAAGTCTACATCCATACCAATAGTATACACTGTTTCAAATAAAATACTTGAGCAATCGGCGAGAAATTCATCGTTCATTTTGTTGAGCAAATCAGTTCTCACATGTTTCATTGTTAAAAAGGTTCTCTTTCGTAGTAGTTGTTGAAACGAGCAGCATCAACACTAAATAAATCAATCGACTAAGCAATTTACATTGTGTGCCCCATCTCTACACACCAGCTGCTTTAGTAAATTTATAAGAGAACAAACCTCATATTTCTTTTAGTCTTTTACGTTTTTAACTTTTTAGAATTTTAGGTTTCATTGTTTTTTTAAGACGCATAATCTTTGAGGCTAAAATTTATAGGCTAAATTTAGAATAGTGATTTGAATATGTTCAACTTGATAATTTTTCTAGTTAAACTCATTCTTATCATAGAATAACACTGGATAAAATGTCTAAAATCAAAAATTTCATAAGAACTATAATAACTACGAATCCAGAGGAGGGCTGGACCGGGGAGTGGGGTGGCCACCCCTGAATCCGCCAGTGGATATGGTCATTGACTACTTAATCATTTAAGCTCCTTTTCACTTGAAGAACACAATGATATCAACAAAGAAACATCCTGGTGGTGCCAGATTCTGATGAGCAGAGCATTACTCGCCAGCGACTGGCTCTGCCTTGCGTTGCTTTCCCTTTCCGTAATTAAGTAGTTGATATGTTTTAAGATATCACATTGTTGAATATTTTTGAGTGACAATTGAAAAGGGGAAACTTGCCTGATCAGCAACTTGAAAAACGTCGGTTAAGAAAAAAATAGTTTTAAGGTAAATCTTAGCAAATCATATGATACACCTTCACGGCTCAAGATAGGGTGCATAACCATGAGTTATGCATCCATCAATAACCAAATCTGCACCCTTCATTTAGAAAATCCAGATCTAAAGATAGAGAATTAAAGATTATTTTTATTTTCTCTAGCTTTCTTAATCGACTCATATCTTTTTCGTTTTAACTTGGATTTTAATTTTTTTTTTGCACAGGTAGAACGAGTTCATCGTGCTCTACAAAATGAGATCAATTTTCAATATTTTTTTAGAACAAAAAATTCTGACCTCTCGATACCATCTGCATACCAAATGGTATTTTCTTCATTTTTAATTCGTTTTTGAAAACGATTGCACAGAAGGGACGAGTTCATCATGATCTATTGGATTTACAAATTTCTGGGTGAACAAATTACAGGACCAAAAAATGCCACACAATACCATACAATAACACCTTGGTACGGGGTGGTATTGTATGGTATCTTCTTCGTTTTTAATTCGTTTTTGAAAACATTTGCACAGAAGGGACGAGTTCATCATGATCTATTGGATCTACAAATTTCTGGGTGAACAAATTACAGGACCAAAAAATACCACACAATACCATACAATACCACCCTGGTACGGGGTGGTATCTTGTGGTATACAATGTTAAAAGTCGTAAATGACAATTAATATATTTCTACTATCATGTATTCAACCATCCTACAGTCTTGGTTTGTTCATACCACCATGGTACTTTTTTCAAACCATAGGTATGCTTTTGTTCGAAAAATATATTAAAGTGGATATCATTTTGAAGAGTACAATTAATCTGATCTAACTGTGCAAAAAAAATTAAATTTCAACTTAAAATGAGTGAGAAATCGTCTGTCAAAGATTAAAGAGGGAAAAATTAAAGGCTTTCCAAGAGAGAGAGGATGCTGATGTGGACGGGTTACTCATGGTTACTCACCACAAGGTTACTCACCAGATCTGCTCCCCACCTTCACACACCCCACCGTGCTCCTTAAGCAAACTTGTGGTATTTAACTATTTATATACTATAAGTGAGCGAAGAAAAAAAATCATTTAAGGTAAGCCTATCTAAAGTGGAAACATGTTTAATCAATAGCTAGAAAAACGTGGATTAAGAAGAAAAAACTATATATATACTAAGTGAGAGAAGAAGAAAAAACTCATTTAAGGGAACCTGCATAATTGACAACTAGAAAAACGTGAGTTAAGGAGAAAAAAAAGTTTTTAAGGTAAGTCTTAACGAATAAGTAAACTAGTGCTATTTATATACTAATAAGTGAGGTCCCTTTGGGGACATCCGACATACTAATAAATGAGAGAAGATGAAATCATTTAAAGTAAGTCATATAAAAGAGAAACTTGTCTAATCGACAACTAGAAAAACGTGGATTAAGAAAAAAAAAATATGTATTTACTAAGTGAGAGAACGAAAAAAAAACCATTTAATAGTCTTAGCGAAATGAAAAACTTGTCTAATCGACAGCTAGAAAAATGTGAATTAATAGAAAAAATAGCTTTTAAGGTATGACCTACTATGTCCTATGATGCACCTTCTCACACTCCACTAGACCCCTTAAGCAAACTTGTCCTATTGAGAAACTTGCCTAATTGACAACTAGAAAAATGAGGGTTAAGGAAAACAAAATTTAATGTATGTTCTAATGAGTCATATAATGCACCTTCCCACACCCCCACTAGACCCCTTAAGCAAACTTGTGCTATTGAGAAACTTGACTAATTGACAGCTAAAAAAATGAGGTTGAGAAAGAAAGAAATAGAGTTTAAAGTAAGTACTAACGAGTCCTATGATACAACTTTCCACACCCCACTAGATACCTTAAGAAAAATATTGTGAGAATGGTAAGATTTATATAATTATGTTAAATTGAATTATATATATAATCTTATTGTAGTTGTGTAGCATCACTAATATTATTTGATAAGTATTTGTTGGATATTGTTAATAGTCACAAGCCGGATAGAAAGGATCACACCTCGTCATTCAGCGATGACGTGAAATACAATACGAATTAGGAAGCATATGAAGCAGCTACTCAAATTGTCAAGGGTTTGAGGTTTCATTTGGTGAAGTCAACAAACAAACAAAAATCCAAGTGAACCAAGTTGGCGACGTGACTTGAAGTGTAGGAACAAGTGGGCCACATGCTATACAGACCAAGTGCGACATTTGGGTAAAACAAGCTCAAATAGGGTTGAATCCTCTCATTCATCCTTCAAGAAGTGGCTTCAATAATCTACTGGTGCAATCGATATGGTTAGTTGCTCAACACTTATTCATGGATATCTTCATAAGAAGTTGTAGTTAGTCTTTTAATTTTTATTCATTTGTAGGTATTTAAGAGAAACCATGATTACATTGAGGCTCAACACCTGCAAATCATAAAGCTTCTAGAGGATCTAGAACAAAGAAGCTAGCACTACCCGATGGACAACCTTTTCGAGAATCAGATACAAATGTCACTCTAGAAGCTATGTTGTTGATGGTTGCCGAGGCATCAGTGGAATGGTTTACTTATCTGTGTACGTTTCCCCATCCCATGGTCTTCCATGTCGATGTTCAATTCGGCGAGCACGTTCTGAAAAGAGGGATTTTTTCCCTTATGAGGTGTTTGCATTTTGGACCACTATCAACTATTGTGAACCTCCTACACTGTTTGGGTGGGAAGACAACAAGCATTACCACCGCGATGCCTTCCAAGGTCTAGTACAAGAGTTTTTGATACGGGGATGACACTATTCGAAGAGCAATTATCCTACTCCGGAGTAGTCTTAATCCTGGAAAGGATAGCATTGACGAGCCACAAGGGGGACATCCCTACCTCGGTCACCCGAGGACGTCCACCACTCGAAACCTGTCTTACTTCGAGTTTGTTGAGAGGAGACAAAGGAGAAGAAGGCCCAATATATGTTTTATTTATTATTCTTATTTGCTCTTTGTACAAATTGAGTTCAATTGTCTACAATATGTTGTATAATTGTAGTGTACTTTGGATAGGTGGTGCCCATGGAGGTTGGTCAGAATGCCCAATACTATGGGCGGGATTACCCATACTTGCATTGTTTGGAACCTTTGTGCAACATTTAGTGCGTGCTTGGCTCAACCCTAAACCAAATGGACATTATAGGTATCGAGCTTTGGCACAAGCAGTTAC